TTTTTAAATTTGGGTACATTATTATTAAGAATAGAAACTAATTGGAATCATAATAGTTGTACATCACTCAATTGACATAGTCTCTTCCATGTATGACAAATTAGACTTCTTCTCGATATGTTTAGATTATTCCAACATAATATGCCTACAATCATAAAGAATAATCAATAAAAAATATTATAATTGAGTTCAAAGTTTTAATAGTCTAATACATAATAAACATAAAACTCAACTATCATTTCTATCAATAACACCTAAGTTTTCAACATGTCCGATACATATTTTGGGTTGTAATCTCTTTATGGAAGGGGTAATTATCATAAGATTTATGCTAATAGATTCTATTGCACTCTTTATTTATGAACTTCCTCTTTTACAATAAAATACTTTAACTCAATATGTTTAATATTTTAACAGTAATTATTGTTTTTAGAGGGAAACATTGTTGTGCAGTTATATCACAATACATTTTCAACAGTTTTACAATATTATAAACAATTTCAAGTCCTGAAATAAAGTTCCATAGACAACTTTGAGAGACGGGTGACTCAATCTAGTCTAGTCTGCCCTTACAGGTTAAGTAAAAAAATTTGATGGTCCAACTTAACCTATATTTTAAAACGAACAAATTTTTTTAGCTTAGTTTGACCTTATATTAAGCCAACGGGATAACGAGACCAATTTTGTTTGATTGGATTTAAAAAAATATTAACATATCCATATAAAATCAACTAAAATTTAAATTTCATTAATGAAATTAATTTTTATTTAAGATATAATGATTTAATATATAAATTATAAGAGAATATATTCATTTATTCTTAAAATAAGAATTAAAAAACTTACTCTTTATTATCATTATTTATTTTTTAGTAATTAGTTAATTTAAATTAGTAATTAATCTTAATCATTAGATCTTGGAAAGTGAATTCATTGTCAAATTAATTTATACTACGTATATTCTTTAATAAAATAATATTAGTTTTATTTTTATTTAAAAAATAATAATTATTCTATAAAATGTGTCAATCCATATAAGTTATAGCTTAAATAAGTTGGACCGAAATAGACTTGATTCAATTTATGCTACAGTTTTTTTATCTAACCCGACCTATTTCTTGGACCTTTTGGGTCAACCCATTATACTAAGTCAATTTTGATACCTCTATTAAATTGTAGCCTCAAAACATGCTACAAATTCAACTTCCATTTTAGATACAACAACAATAGATTATTTTGCACTTTTATACGATATTGCTCCTTTATTTAAAATAAATACCTAGAAAAAGTGGATTTTCTTATATCCACATATCACCTCAAGATGATCAAACCTTCTATACGTAAACATGTGATCCTTTGTTCCTTATAAATATCTTACAACTTTCTTTGCATCTTTCCAATGTTCCATTCGCATATTACTTTGATATCTTCTTAACATTTCAACTATAAAGTTTATGTCTGCTTGAGTACAAGTCTGAACATACATAATACTCCTTAAAACATATGTATACAAAATTGCTTCCATTTGTTTCCATTCCAAATTATTCTTAGGACATTGGGAAAGACTAAACGTGTCTACTTCCTAGATGGGAACATATGATGTTGAACATTTTTCTATCTTGAATCTCTTTAATACTTTATTTACATATGCTTTTTAGGATAAACATAACATTCCTTTTGATCTTTTTTGAAATATATTTATTCCTATTACATAACTTGACTCAACCATATCTTTCATTTCAAAATTATTAGAGAGAAATTTCTTAATCTTATAAAGAAGGATAAGATAATTAATTGCAAAAAATATATCATTAACATACAAAATAAGAAATATAACCTTACTCCTAGTAATTTTTACATATATACACCAAATAACATTATTTTCTTTAAACCCAAAATAAGTAATGATATCATTAAGCTTTAAATAACATTAGAGGGAAGCTTGCTTAAGTCCGTATATTGATTTCTTTAATTTGCACACCATGTGCTCCTTCCCATCAATTGAGAACCTCTTTGGTTGGTCTATATAAACATTATCTTCCAAATCTCTATTAAGAAAGACAATTTTCACATCTAACTGATGTAATTCCAAGTCATAATGAGTTACAAATATCATGATAATTTTAAAGGAATCTTTCCGTGAGACCTGTGAAAAAGTCTCTTGATAATTAATGTCATTTTTATGAGTAAAATCCTTAGCAACAAGTTTGGCCTTGTAATGTTTCAAGGTTATCATAAGAGTCAATTTAGTCTTAACGACCCACTTACAACCAACTCTCTTGCAACCTTTTGACAATTCTATATGGTTTCAAACATCATTATTTTGCATGGACTTCAAATCTTCTTTTATGGTACCAAACCATTTCTCAAAATTATTAGAACTTCTTGTGAAATTGTAATTAGATCATCATCATCATCATTAATGCTTAAGTCAGTTTCTAACTCATGTAGATATATCATATAGTTATTCAAAATAGTTGATCTCTTTTTTGTTGAGACCTCCTTTATGTTATTTCTCACGTATCTTCTACAGTAGGTTTATTTTGAATCATGAGTTCATCATTATGTTGCTCTTTTTCATTGTTGTTTGACACAATAATTAGAGGAACACTTGTTTTATTGTTAAAGATATAAGGTAAAGGAACTTATACTCTAACTTTTTTAATTTATGCTTGTTGTGAAGTTGAACTTCCACTATTTTTACCATTTTTAATGAATCTTGCATTTCTACTTTAACAATTCTTATATTATGATTAGGACAATAAAATATATACTTTTTTTACTTTTCCTGGATAACAAATAAAGTATCTATTGATTGTTCTAACATCCAATTTCTTTTTTTGTAGATTAAACCCTTATTTCTTCTTGACAACCCTAGACATGTAGATGACTTATATTGGGTGTCCTACCAATCCACAACTTAAAAATGTGTTTTTGGAATTGCCTTATTAGGAACCCTATTCAATGGATACATAACAATTTTTAAGGCATACATTCACAAATAAATGGATAAAGAAGATTTGTTTAATATGCTCCTGACCATATCCATTTTTGTTTTATTATATGCCTTTTTTATACATCTTTTTGTTGTGGTGTCTTGACATTGTGTATTATGCACAAATGTCACGTTTCTAACAGAGTTTAGCGGATAAACATGGGCGTTGTCAATCTCATCTTACTTTTTGTAATTCTTATGACCTTTGTCAAATTTGACAACTTTCACCTTTTTGTCTAATTGTCTTTCTACTTCATTTAAATAAATTTTCAAGGCATCTAATGCTTAAAATTTCTCATGCAGTAAATAAATATAATCATAACGTGAATAATTATCAATAAAGGTGATAAAGTACCTTTTAGTTCCAAAATATGAAATATAAAAAGGCCTACAAATTTCAACGTGCAGAATTCCAAGAAGTTGTATGCTTCTTGAATGCCCCTTTCTTTTGTGTGTTTTAAATTCACACAAATATGTAGATCGGTCAAATTTAGATATGGAAGAATTACATTCTTTATTAATCTTTTCATTATTTATCTAAAAATGTGATTCAAGTGTTTATGTCACAAGAAAACAAAACACCCATTCACTAAAATATTCATTACCAAAATTAAAAGAGTGTCAATTAATATTATGTTTAGATAGTGAAACCAAATTCCTAGATAAACTAGGTACATAAAGAGCTTCTAATAAATTTATATGATATCCCTGTTAAAGATTAAACAACAAATGTCAACTGCTTCTATTAGAGCTTTCACTTTATTCCGCATGAAGACAAACTTTCAATTTGGCTTTATTATTTGGATTGTAAGAAATCTATTCATCATCTTAGAAACATGACTCGTACATCCATATGTATTATGTAAAACTTTAGTTAGATTTGATTTAAAACATAAATAAGTATTAAGCTTACATTTTGGACAATCATTTTAGAAATGTATAAATTTCTCACAAAAATGGCAATTATTGCCCTTTGATGCTTTCTAAATTTTCATTGATATTTCACTAATCTTTAGTGGTCCTTCGCCCTTATCATGTTTCTTCATAAATTTATTTTCATTTCCTTGATTCCTTTGGTGACTTACATAATAAATTGAGTAATTTCCTTAATTCTTAGGCCTTATTTCTTCCTGAACCAACATATTGTGCAATTATACACATTTTATTTATCTTTCATGATATTATAACTCATTTGAAATTGTCTTATTCACATTCATTCTCAATGTCTTTAAGTGTTGTAATATTTATCATTTCAATGATATTCTCATGCATAAAGCATAGTACGTGACCGATCATATTTCATGATGGTCAACAGTGTACTCATTAATGTTCTAATAAGAGATTTATATGTTGTTTGAGAAAACTCTCTCAATAATCCCATAAACTCTTTAGTACTTTTAGTTTTTGGAAGAATTTTTTTACTATTATCAATATCAATAATCTTTATGAACATTAAGGTGAATATGTTAGATATTTCTCAAACTTTATAATGAATTTGTTGTTCATTCATGTAAAAACTGATAATAACAATAAACTTCTCTTATAATACAACAAGATCAAAACTCATAATATCGAGATAAAAGTAGATTTCTTCATTCCAATAAAAAAAGTTAAGCTGGTACAAACAATACATAAAAATTCATTAAATTATAAACTATTATTGCATAACAAAATTTCACATTAGAGTTATAAAACACAATTAAAGTATATTGAAGTTCTCCTTTAGATAATATATCAACCCATAACCTATAATATATCACTAAAAATGTAACATTAATGATAATTAAATATGCATCTTTTAAAATCACCTATTTACTTTGAGGATATAAATAAAACTAATAAACCATATATAATTATTTACAATTATACTCCTTAATTATCAATTTATTTATTGATTAATGCAACGAAAACTTATTTATTGCACATTTCTTTCACGCATAAGCATGTATGCGTATAGCATATGACATATATGTATATTGTATTCTTTCGTAATGCACACTCATACTGGCATACGTGGCGATTTCTTTCTCCATAATTCTGCCCTTTAACTTTCTCCATAACATTATAACAGTGGTTAAAAAAATTTATTCATAATTCAATACCAAATTTCCCAACAAAATTACAATTTTAACAAATTAATAATTAAATTTGAACTATTACACACAATAATATTAATTATATTTTATCCATTTATAGTTTGATTCAATTCTACACATACTGTAAACTAAAACTCACTCGCTTATGCCTCTCGCGCACGCCTCATGGGAAATAAAATAACCATGTAAATTTACACTGATATACCCCCCAGTTCAGTAATGATGCCTACCACATATTTTAATTTCAAAGTGAAATTAAAATATTTTAAATACAAAATAAAAAACAAAAAACCCCAAATTTCATAATTAAGGTTTACAAAATTGTAAAAAAATAATAATAAAAAAACAATTATGCATTTTATACCACATGTAAAATCATAATGATTTTTTAATAATTACATCAAATATAAAATTCAAATAAGATATTAAAATTGATGATTCTCCCATATTTTAAAGAAAAATATATATTTTCTAGTAGTACAAATTTTTCTTAGTGTTCTTAAGTGTTATTTTGTGAATTAATTAAATAAAATGAGATAAACAAGATTTTGCGCCCTGATTTCTTATTCTACATCTTCTCCTAATAGATGAAAAATAATATAAAGAATACATTTTTAGGCCCAGAATGAGACATTCTTTCATGTAAGTGAATGGGAATCTTTTTAATACTGTTATTCTTTTTAAATAATTACTATCATCAAAACTTATTCCTATTTTATATATTTATTATTTTAATCATTTATTATTTATTTTTTAAAAATATATGACTAGACCTTATTTATATATATTTGGCTTAAACAATTATTCTAAAATAATGTTTAATTACAGTAAAACTTTCATTACTTAATATTATTTACAATAATTTAAGTTAAATTTCTCATATTTTTTTATTCTAGTCTACAAGGATAATTATAATTAAATGGGAAATTTTTGTTTTTTCTTTAACTCCCATTCAACCTCTCCCTCAAATTCTCTTATTCTTAATATTTTTTTATTAATTTTAGTATTTTTATTTTTAAATAATTAATTTTTATTTAGTATTTTTTTTAATGATCCGGATTAAAGTTGTAAATGGTTGTATTGTAACCTCGGTATTTAGTAGTTAATCAAGCTTGCAAATACTGAGGTAAGGAATTTATATATTTTTATCATATATGGAATAAAAGGTTCGAGTAGTGATGAATTTTCTTGAAATTGAGTGAGTATAAAATCTTCAAATTTTTGTAAATTTGATTTCAAATTTAATGATCATTAAATATATTTTATTGTATATTAACAATTTTGATTTTTTTACATTTTCATTTTATTTTATTAATTGATGGTCAAGATCGGTTTGGGTATTATTAATGATTGGAATATTTCCATTTAATAATTTAAATTAATATTTTCCATTTTTTTACAATAGTAATAATGATAACAGTATTGTCATTTGGTCGGTTTTAATGCAAGAAATTTTTCTAGGATTGGGTTAATATTTTGGTTTTGAAAGTTTATTGAAAAATATGTATGATTTTGTATCTATACATCTAATTAATAGGATGATAATAAATTTATCTATTAATAATAATGATCTTACATGTGATTAAAAATCAATGAGCACCTCTAAGAATATAAGTGAGTTGTCTGCCTATATACAATAGAAATAACATTTAAATTTATATAATAAATTCATATAGTGTATAAAATATATTTTTAAAAAGAGATAAAATTTTAATATATTTTATTTGTTTTGATAATTTAAAACTTGGTAATATGTTTCTTTTAAAAGGTGAACAATGTATATTAACACTATACAAATACACACATCCCACATGCAAATCATATATCAAATAGAATTTAAAGTCATAAGGACAAAGTCATTAATATGAAAAATTAACTTAATTATTTAGAAAGTCAACCAGGTCTTGGCCTTGTACTATGGCATGCCCTACATTGTCATTACTCGAACAAGAATTGGAGGAACAAAAGAAACCTTACAAAACGTGCAGTCCCCACTTTCCAATTACATTGCCAGCACTTGAGCAAGAAAATTGTAGGAAGAAAAGGAAGAAAGAAAGAAACCCTACGAAACTTGCAGTCCCCACTTATGTAGACACAGACGATTGAGTCTTCAAGTTAATTTCCACACACGGTTCATAGGAGGGTCCAATTAAAGTATTTTTTGAAAGAGACTTTTTTTTTTTTTTTTCTTAAATATGTTGATAACTTTTTATCACTCTTCTAATACACGTTCATCTTTTATTTTATATAAACTAATATTAAATCATTTTTTAAAAAAACTTAAAGTTTGTGTTCTTAGCAATCTTATCTTTTAGATTTGTCAAACACTTTTAACGATTTAATAGAGTTGATGATTTTCTGTAAACTATCGTGTATGCTAAAATTAGTATTTTATACTAAGATTACCTCCTTGTAGTTTCATCGAATTTCTCTAAAACTGTTTTTTTGTTAATTGATTTAATTTTTATTAACATTTTCCAATTTTCAAAAATATTAAACCGGTGTATCAATATAAACCTAAAAGAAATATATATAATTGTATGAAATTTCATAAAACATGGTGTAATTTTTTAGTTTATAATATTGTATATGAAATCCATGGTAATCTACTACAATTGATCACAGAGGAAATTTGTATTTCCTTTTCACACGTTGATTATCTATGGGTGTGTTATCAAAGGGGCGTGTGCAAGAATTTTACAAAAGTCAACCAAAAAGTTCATTTGTCCAAAAAATTTAAATAAATCGTAAAGCTATTAATTACGAAAAAGTCAAGGCAACAATAGTAAAATAGATGTGAAGTATGGGATCAAATCAACATTCCTTTATCCATCAAAATTATAAGCTTTATACATTAATTTGAATACAATTTTTATTATATACATTTACTTGGAAATTTATAAATAATTTAATTTTTATTTTGATGTTTTACTATTAAGTGGATGGTTAGGCCATTAATAACACTACTCATCACTTTGATTGATATTAATGATCAAGTTAAAATATGCTTAAAATAATACATCTCATCAATTATTTTCAAGCACAAATAATTTGTTTAATTTAAAAATTATATCAATTAATATCTGAAGCAAACATTAGGATTTTGAAATGGTCCCATGCCTTTCATTTCAGTGTGTGAAATCTGTGATTCCTCTCAACCATCATTGTCTTTATGCGTACGAATGCAACTACGCAATTGTATTTACTTGATCATATGATATAATAATAATAATAATAATCGATTTATAAATAACTTCACTCTCCTTATACAGTAACATTGTCAAACACCAGAAAGATGGCGTGTTTGAAAATATGAAAAATAATAATTTGAGAGAAGGAATGACACCATTTATGGTTCGATTATGCAACTTTACCACCTCATGATAAAGACAACTGTGATAAAGACAGTTTGCAGCAGCAAATACTCACTCCGTTAATATATTTTCTAATTTTTTTTATCGAAAGAGTTATATGATGAAAGAATTAAGATTAATGATAATTTATATTATTATCTTGATGTTCAAGTTTACTGAGTAGTTATAAATAGGATGAGAGAGTTTTAATTATATATAAAAGATTCTCTTCTGTTTAAATAAATATGTGTACAAGAATAAAAAAGAAAATGAGTATAAGAATGAAAAAGTGAAATATATATATATATATATATATATATATATAATAAATAAGATATTAAATATATATAGGGATGAGGTATTATATCTATCCAAAATTAATAACATATTTTATTTTTATTTATTAGCGGATGTTTTGGATGATTTACGATTATTTTAAGATAAATTGGTATACAAATATTTTAAGTATTATTAATATGCTCAGATATTATCAAGATATAAATAAAAAAATTTCAACAATTATGATATTCAATTATTTTATAATCATTAAATATATTTTATATATATTTTCTTCTCCCACTTCATCAAATATTAGAAAAAAAAAATTACAACGAGTTAAAATTCAACAATATTATTATCACTATGATATAAAAAATCTAATAATAAATTTGACAAGTTCAATCGCATGCCTGTGTGGGAATGTTATTTATTTTGTGAAGGTGGACGTTTGTAGAAAATGGTATATGTTATTTTTACTAATATTATTGTTTGTATGAAGTAGGATAAATATTGGAAGAGAGGATGGTGGAGGCAGTCTCAGTGTGAAATGAATTGGTGGGGTGCAATTGCAAAGCATCGTCAACGCTTCAAAGGGCATCCACTTTATAGGCTTCAAGATATTTTAATTTAAAATAAATGAATAAAATATTAAGTGCCTTCTTAATGGGGGAGATGATGCCTTCTCACCGTCTCAGTCTAATCTCTGGTGTATTTATTTGTTTCTTCGTGTTGACGTTCTTGCTAAGCTAAAACTGACGACTCATAACTTTTTCCACGTTTCCCATAATACCCCTTCACTTTTTCATAACCCCCCTATAGTTTTTATACAATTAAAGATAACCGACATTTATTTTATGATAACTTACTTCTATATCTTTTCACAACTTTTTCTCAAAAATTACTATTATTTGATAGCGTGAGCAAAGGGTTTGCGTTAATATTAAAACTACTTTCTTTTAGTTTTAATTATATAACCTTATAAATTTTTAGTTATATATTAGGTATAAATCATTATGATACTAAATCATATAATTTTTTTAATATATTATAAAAATAAAATGTTTTTTAGATATCTTTAGAATAAAAATTGCACGTAGTATAAAAAAATCAACACTATTTTTTTTTCTAACATTACGCAATGTAAAAGTATAAAGTAATTGATTTAAATACGTTTTAAATCCCTACAAATTTTATTTTGTGTTACTTTAGTTTACGTAAAGTTTTTATTTTAAATTTTAAACCTTAAACAATAAAAAATTATATATATATATACACACACATAAGTTTTTTATTAAAAATAATTATAATTTATTTAAATACTTATAGAAAATTAAGTTTAGTTGACGTAAATTATTTGAATAACTTTTATATAGAGCGTTAAAATAAAAATACATGTTAACTTTTAAATATTATCTTCAATAAATTATATATAGAAAATATGTTTGAACAGTATTATTTTAAAATTTGAAAATAAAAAATTAAATAGAAAGATTTTAAAAATTTGTCAACTAAATAAAAACAGAGGGAACAATTCTATATTAAATTATAGTGTATATCAGATATAACAATATCTATGGGTGGACTCTAAATTGAATCACCCAAACCTTCACTTTCATAGATGAACTTTCTATCAAACATAACACACCTTGTTGGTAAAAAATACACGTATTTGAAGTAAAATTAAATTTGAAGTCAAACTTGACTATACATCTTAAATGAGAAATTGATAACTATATATTTGACTTTGTAAGTTACATTTAGTCAAAGGAGAAAAATTTAAAATGAGTATTGTACTTGTTATGAAATTCGGAGGCCAATTTATTTATAACTAATAAAAAGGGAAGAAAAAGTATTTTCCTAAAATTAATGCAAAACAGAGTACTGAATTCTCTAACGAATGTTGCAACAGGTTTGGTTAATTTTACGCAACACTCACTGTTTAACTGTGACTGTGGAAGCATATTGTGATTGGAAAGTAATTCTATGCGGCATAAAAGTCAATACGTGTGTCAATCACTACGTAATTTTTATGTTAAAAAAACATAAAGAGAAAAGGAAAATGACCAGAAGGAGGGTAGTTTAGGAAACTCGGAAACGAAAACCAAATTTGACAAGCTCGTGTTTCAGAGGCTGAGAGTTCACAACACGTGGCCACGTAAGACGCGGTTCCAATGTCAGTGGGAGAGTCTTGGTAGCAAAGGCGAATCCAAAAACAGAAGTGATTCTTTTCATCTCTCTTCCGTTCCCCCACTCCGCATTAATCCCCCACCTTCCTCTTCTTTCTTTCTCTCTTCTCATCATAAATTTTCTTCCTATCTCTCTCTCTTTCAACCACCCAACCAAACTTCTTCCACTCACTACTTCCTTGGAAATAGCAATCAAAACCCGTATCATTTTTTTTTCCTCCTTCACTCATTTTCCTTAAAGTGTTGCGTTGGGTTGAGAAGTGTGGCAGGGCCTAATGGGTAACTGCCTAGATTCTTCTGCCAAAGTTGATGCAGCTCAGAGCTCCAGATCCACTTCTGGTTGGTCATCTTTGATCATTATTCCCTCTTTCTGACTTCTCTTGTTTTCGGTTTTGTGGAGGCTTGTGATCGTTTGACTCCCTCTTTCTTGGTTTTGGGGAACTGGGTTTCAGTGTTAGGGGGGTGTGAGGTTGTAAAGTTTTTTTTTTCTCTCTCTTGGTAACAGCGGTTGGATAAGGTTTGATAATTTTCTCAAAGTAGCACTACAATATGTTTTTTAGGAGGGGTGTGTTTTTGTTTATTTGTTTATGTTTACTGTTTGAAAATTTCAGCTTGAAATATTACTATAAGGGTTAAGATTCTTGAAATATAATCTTTTTTCGACCTTTATGATCATGTTTTTTACTGTATTTCTCCTTCTTTAATTTTTACGTGGATTGAAACGGCATCTTATGGTCTGATTTTAGTCATGGATTGTTTTGAGAATTGAAGTTTAGTTGAATTATAAGCAGTTCATAACGTAATTAAAGTGGAAGGTTTGGCGTTGTTTTTCTGCGTTGTGGGTTGAATCGATGAAATTGAATAATAACTAAAGAAAATTGCTCTTTTGATGCACAAAGTATGAAATACTTATTCAGAAATGGGTTGGGTTATAGTATTGTGGATGGTTAAATTTGAAAGCTCAATTTTTTTGCTACGTGCTTTTGTTTGTGTAATGACACTATGGATTTACCAATTTTCCCTTTTCTTTCTGCATCAGGAATCTCAAAAACTACACCTTCCAGCTTATCTATTCCATCATACAGTGAAAAAAGCAACGCCTCAAGTCTTCCCACACCAAGGTCTGAGGGTGAAATCTTGTCTTCTCCCAATCTTAAGCCCTTCACATTCAATGAGCTGAAGAATGCCACCAGAAATTTTCGGCCTGATAGTCTTCTTGGTGAAGGGGGATTTGGATACGTCTACAAAGGATGGATTGATGAACACACATTTACAGCTTCAAGACCTGGCGCAGGAATGGTTGTTGCTGTAAAGAGGCTTAAACCTGAAGGTTTTCAAGGTCATAAAGAGTGGTTGGTAAGTGTATGCTTTCCAAGCCCATAAGGGGCTTCCCCTGCACCAAAAAACAAGTACATCTTTTTTTTTCTTTCCTCAATACACATGGTAATGAAGCTTTTAATATATTTTCAGACTGAGGTTAACTACCTTGGACAACTGTACCATCCTAATCTGGTTAAATTAATTGGTTACTGCTTGGACGGAGAGAATCGGCTTTTGGTCTATGAGTTTATGCCTAAAGGGAGCTTAGAGAACCATCTGTTTAGAAGTAAGTTACACAAAACCAGTATGCCATTCATTCATAATTTGTGTCCGTTCAACTATTGTCTAGATCATTTGGTAACCAAAGAAAGAAATTAACAGCAATAGATTACTGATTCTTTAAGAATGATCTCTTTTTTAACAAAGATGTTTCAAAATTCTAACTTTGGCCTGTTGAAGGCAAAATAACGGATATTTAAGTCTCCTCTGTTAACTGCATACATTCCAGATTTATGGGTTCATTTTACTTGACAGGAGGACCACAACCACTCTCTTGGTCGGTGAGGATGAAAGTGGCTATTGGTGCTGCTAGAGGACTCTCTTTTCTTCATAATGCCAAATCACAAGTCATATACCGTGATTTTAAAGCCTCTAACATCCTACTTGATGCGGTAAGATCAATTTGAATATACACGTTGTTACGAGTTCTTCGTTTTTCTTTTTGTGTATACTGCTTACTTATCATGCAAGAGGATTGCAGGAGTTCAATGCTAAACTCTCTGACTTTGGTTTAGCTAAGGCGGGTCCTACTGGTGATAGAACTCACGTGTCAACTCAAGTCATGGGTACTCAAGGATATGCAGCACCTGAATATGTTGCAACTGGTATGCTTTATTGTGAGATGGTGCTTTACCTGGTTATTATAATAATAATCATGGCTGATAAATTTCAATCATATAGTCTCTTCAGTCTTCATTTTAGCCTGCTATAGAATTCATAATATACTTAAATATAGTTTCTTCTCTTCAGTTTAGAACAATTGATAAATGCCATAGCGACATTACTGTGTTGCTAGCATTTTTCTCTGTAAATGGACTCATTGCATCTCATTATATGTTAAAACATTAATCTAAATTCCTATTTGATTTACAGGTAGGTTGACAGCCAAAAGTGATGTCTACAGCTTTGGAGTTGTGTTGCTTGAACTTTTATCTGGAAGACGTGCAGTTGATAAAACAATAGCTGGTATGGAGCAGAATCTGGTAGACTGGGCAAAACCATATTTGAGCGATAAACGAAGACTGTTTCGGATCATGGATACCAAGTTGGAGGGGCAGTACCCACAAAAGGGGGCCTTCATGGCTGCCACACTTGCTCTACAATGCCTCAACAGTGAGGCCAAGACAAGGCCTCCAATGACAGAGGTTTTAGCCACTCTGGAACAGATAGAAGCCCCTAAAACTGGAGCCAGAAACTCCCATTCAGAGCACCATAGAGTTCACACTCCTGTGAGAAAGTCTCCGGCGAGGAACCGGTCACCACTAAATCTAACTCCCACCGCATCCCCTCTTCCTGCTCACCGGCAATCGCCTCGTGTGCACTGAGATTTGAACATAAAACATCTGTATGTAAATTCCTTGTTTGTAACAGGTTGTGTTTTGGACAGCATGCGTTTGAGGCATGTGTACGTAATGCAATTTTGGGTCATACTCAGTAGAATGATTAGTTAACCATTTATCCAAATGCTATGTGTTACCCCTTATTCCCACATGGAATAATAACACCCAGATTCATTGCGCCCTTCAATCACGGATCACCCTAGTCATTTGAGTTTTTGTCTGCATCAATTTCAATATGAAGAGATGGATGTTATATTCTTTTGAGTGAACTTTCAAAAAAGGGAATTTTTAAATTTAAGAATAAAATTAAATATTTTATTATAAATTTTATAGTAATAGTTTAAAATTTGATGAGAATTATTTATATAATTAGTTTTTTTTAAGTAATTTTTTTTTATTTTTAAGTAATTTAAACGTAAAATTTTTAATAAAATATATATTTTTATTCTTAAATAATTTTTTATAACAATTTTTTTAGTGATGGTTTTATTTGAAGTATAAAATTTTTCAATAACACAGGTAATTTGATAAGTCTATCTATCACAATCAATAAAATAAGTTTTAATACCATCTTTTAAAATTTAGATTTTGGGTTAAACTCAACTTCAAGAAATTAAACTAGGAATGACAATTAAATCCGTATTTGTGGGGATCGACCCGTCTTCATCTTAAATTCGAGGGAAAACCCGAGTTGACCGAGGCGGGTTCGGGTTTTCCAGCTTTAAAAGTCGGGCGCGAGGATGGGTAATGCAATCCCCACCCCGACCTCGTCCTCGCCCCGACTTTATGTTAAAATTTAAAATTTAAAATATGAATACTTTAAATGTATTTTCTTTTCTTTTTCTACTACATATAAGATTATTTTTTTAATATTTCACCAATTTTTATTTTTATTCTACCCACTTTTAATTTTTTTTCGTTTTTAATCTTTTATCAATTAATTTATTACATTATTCTCTCTCTTACCATTCTATTTTTTACATTTCCTTAATTTCTCCTATCAATTTTTTTTTTATCTTTTCAATCAATTTGATGAACTCAAAGTAAATTTTTTCTTTATCTTTTTCTAAATATTTTACATAAATCATAATAGTAACTAATATTATTTTATTTCTAATTTATATTTATTAGGTTTTATTATGTCATATTTTTTATCTTATTATTATTATTTATTATATATCAAATTTTATCTTAATAAAATAATTATATTTTAAAGGATTAAAAGAAATTAATAATTTAAATTTTTATTACTTCGAACTAATTAAATAAGAATTAACTTATTAAATATTTTCTTATAAACTATGTATTTCATATTTTTAAATGATAGCTTAAAAATAAATTAACTTATATATATAATTAAATGTTTAAATACAGTATTATAAAAATAATGTTATAAGTATTCAAATATTTGAATATAATAATAATAATATTATTATAAATATTCTCTCTCTTTCTATATAAATAAAAAATAATTAAATATTTTTTTACATATATATTTTAATATAAATATAATAAATTAAAATGTATATTTAATTAATAATAAATATTTATTTATATATAAAAAATATATAATAAAATTAATTTATTATAAATATAATTATCTTTTAAAAATAATATAAATTAAGTATGGAGGAAAAAAAAAACTCAAAGACGATGTAAATCAATCAAAGATAATTAAAATATTCGGGAAGGGGACACAAAAACTCGCTCCGCCCCACCCATTCTCATGGCTAGTCTAAACGAAGAAGGTTATTTCTAATTTATATATTCATTTTTCACCATATCAAGGTGAGAACATATGATGTTAAAATGACAATTATTGTGCCGATGTTGGTGCGTGTTTTGTTCTTTTAAGAAAAGGTGACGGTTGAGTTCTGTGTGCGGAAGAAACTTATGATGGGAGAGTTACTGTCACATGCAATTCCGAATTATATATATAAATAGTGAAAGAAGTTTTGAGAAATGTGAGTATTGAATGAGTTAGCAAGATGTTGAGTGCAGATGGAGTAAGTTTATAGACACATCTCGTGATGCAAGGGATAAAAAAAATAGCTTTTTCGATAATCTAACTGTAACTGATGAGACTTACACCACCTTCTATCAATGAACTGTCTTCATTACGCATAGGCAGTCTCATTCAAGAAAGCTAGAAATTTAGATGACAACCAACTATGTACTTAACTATAGTCATAATATTTATTATTATAATACATCAACTTCAATTGCATTTATGATATTGTCCTTATGCTTCTTTTTATAAAGTTTTTATTATATCACAAGTCATTTGAAAACAAAAATACTACCAAGTATCTTGATTTTAATTAAATGTATAATTATTCATAAAAGTAGTTTTACTGTGAATTTAATAAAAAGTTATTTCACCAGTAGAACTATTGATCGACTACAATATTACTTAGCAAAATTCCTGTTAGAAAATCTACGAAACATTAACTTTTTTTTTTTTTTTTAACTTTAATTTCTAACAAATCACGTTTAATTATTTTATGTTTTCTAATAAATTTTCCACTTCTCTAATATTGCTAGTTATACAAATATCATGCTTACGAGAGAAGAACCTAAAAAGTAATTAAGTAACAGAGAGGAGAAATGAGCAGGATATTGAAAGATAATATGCTGTGAAAAAAATATATGGAGACGGACTTTTAAGTAAGAGTACTCTTGAAAAGTTCAGATTTTTTTTTAAATTTAAAGTTATTAATTTAATTATTGGTTAAAAATATGGAACTTAGTTGAAGATATGATTTGGATACTTCGTGAATAAATTTATCTTTTTCTTTCTTTCTAATATTAATTTGAGTGAAAAATATAACCCTTTTAAGTAAAAATATTCAATTTCTTTTAATAAATAAAAAATAGTTAGAATGATATATTTCATTAAAAATGGTTGATAAAACTATAAAAAAAAATTAGGGAAACATTCAATATATAAGAGGGAAAAATCTTTATTAAAAAAAAATAAAAGTAGATAATGCGATAAAAGGTGTTTCATCTACAAGAAAAAAAATATCATTTAAAAAAAAAATTGACGTGACAGAGTTGTTAGGACAATCAAACTTATTTGTTCTCTCAAGCTTAGAGATAACGATAAAATGAAGTCTTTATATTCTAAACAAGTAGATGAAGAATTGTTTCATTTTGACCATCCTCTAATGAAACAAAATCTTATTGTTCTAAAAAAGTTCTCAAAATTTTCTTTTCAATAAATACATTTTATCAAATATTAGACCATCACAACTATCATAGAGGTACAACTTTTTCCTTTTAAGTAAGAAAAATCTATCAAACATCGCTTATTTGATAATAGAATACACAAATCAACTATGGATCCATATATTCTAACCTAAGATTTATGAAAAAAAAGTATCTTATTTTATTCTTGTTGACAAAAAAGTCCTCAAAACAGATCTCATCACAAGGACTTTTGTTGGATTTAAAATTTTCCCAAAATACAATATCTAATCAAAGATAATTAGAAGCAAACGTTCAAACAAAGACATTTCCATGAGGATGAACATTTTTTTTTTCCAAAAAACTTTAAATCCATTATAATGAGATAAGATTTAAAAGATAATTTAAATCCTTCAATGATGTACATAAGTTTTTTTTTTCTCTTTCAGAAATTCGAAATGGTTTGGATGGAGTTAAAGCCAAACTAACTACTTTATGAGCTAATAACCAAGAAGATTTTTTTCATTGGTGCCCTTTCTGAAAATTTTTGAGGTTTTTACTCCAACTCCTTTCAAGTTCATTAAAGACATCAACTTTACCAACACAATCCATATGATATGTCTCCTCTAGATTTTCAACTATCTCCTAAAGAATGCAAAAAATGATTGAGATAGGGATTGATTGAACCAACCAACCAATCAGGGTTGTCAAACCTTTTTATATTAAGAAAAAATATGATAAAATGTGAAAAAAAGGAGGTTAATTATTCAAGGTAAATCCTTCGGTCACTTACTCAAAATGATCAATTTCCAAATGCAAAAACATTTCCTTGCCCTTGTTATAAGAGAAACCAACTAATAGACCTAAATTAGGATTTTGGTAATTAGGACCCAACTAATAGATCTAAATTAGGATTTTGGTAATTATGACCCAACTAATAGATCTAAATTAGGATTTTGGAAATTAGGATTCAACTAATACATACACAACTACATTTTGTATCCTTAATGCCCAATTTGAATAGAGGGTGATGTCTTTTCAACTAAAAGTAATCTGGTCATTATTTTAAAAGGTCATGACAAATAAAAAAATTGAGCCCATATTAAACAAGATCATCATTTGTATTAATAACTATAAAATTTCTATAATGATAAATAATTTAACATTTTAAAATAATTTAATATTAATAATAATTATTTGAATGCATTTTTAATTTAATTATTACTTAAATTATAAAAAAATATAACTACCTTATTTAGTTATTATACAATTATTAAATTTTAAAAGTATTTAAAATACACTTTTAATTTAGTTATAATAACACAAATAGATAAATAAAAATAAACTATTTAAAAATATTTTTTATTTTGCAATTGGGAATACATAAGAGTACAAAGATAATATCTATCGAGTTAAAAAAACATTGAAAATATATTACCTTTTATTTTTAATAGTAATATTAAATTAAAAAAAGTATAGATATATAATAAAATATAATTTTAATTAATTTTAAGGGATAAAATAAATATGTTTTAAAATATTTAAATTTTTATATTTAATGAAATGTAACCGATTTAAACACATATATTAGAGGGTGCTAATACATTCTTTACACAAAATAGACTTTCAGATCCAACTTTTATTTCACAAACTACCTTATTTTCTTTTAAAGAGTTTTTTTTATACTTTTCTCAAAATAAATATTGATGGCGATGTTATTATTTTTTTCATTTTAAATTTATATTTTTACTGTACTATCACGATTTTTATTATTATGACAAAATCAACTTTATTTA